CAGCATTCAGTATCTTCAGATGAAACTTACACTTAGTCAGTTCTGCTTTCATACAAATTTCAACTTTTATATTGTTTTTTATTTATTTTTTTTCTAAACTTACTTTGGTGATCATTTTATAGATTTTATAATCGAAGAAAAAAGGAAACTTATTTTTTGCTTTATGTACCAATTCGTGCTTTTCTTTTTCTGCTTTACAATCAACAGTACTTCAGAAAAAAAAAATTTGGTTAGAAACTAATCCGACAAAACAGCTTAATTTTGAAGTGTATCTCCTTACTAAACTGCTTACCCAAGGTGCTGCAAAAACTGCAACTATTAGCTTTATCTTATCAAGTTTACTTTTGTTTTCAATGTCATTTGCTATAATCAATTTTGCTCCTTCTGCTTTTCTTGCTATTTTTCATGTAAATTCTTCTTTTTTTCTTCTTTGCTTTTTTCAACTGTTGTTAAGTGCCTGCCAAAATTGAAGATTTAAGTTTCAAAAAATGTATTTTTATAAAATCTTTTAAGTTTTTTCTAATGACATCAGTCTATGTATAAAACTGTAACTACGTTTTTTAATTCTTAAGCAACCGAGATACCAAATATTTTTTCGATTCCATATTCTAATCATAATTTGTACTTGTAGAAAATATTAGGTTTTTTTTTTTTCCAGAATCAGGACATACAGGAGTTAATCAACTTGGCGGAGTATTTGTCAATGGACGTCCGTTACCAGATTCTACAAGACAACGAATCGTCGATTTGGCGCATCAAGGTGCTCGTCCCTGTGACATATCACGCTTGCTTCAAGTTTCCAACGGGTATGTTTAAAACGATCATTTATGCTTACCAAAACCCTGTTTTTTTTTTCTTCTGTTTTATTTCAACTATAAAACCGAACTAACTTTCTTTTTTTAGTTTGTTACAATTATACCTTCATTTTACTGTAGGCTCATCTTGTCAGAGAAATTAAAAAAAATTTTTGTGACATAGCTCAAACTAAAATGTTACTGTTTAGTTTACACTTAGAACCACAACATGTTTTTTTTTTTTTTTTTGGAAATGCTGAAAAGTTAATTTTGTTCAAGTATCAAATAGTAACTGAAAATACTTGGTTAATACAATTCAACAAAAAAAACGTTGTTTTTTTTTAGTTGTGTATCAAAAATTTTATGTCGTTATTATGAATCGGGTACAATACGACCTCGTGCAATCGGTGGTTCAAAACCTCGAGTGGCAACACATACCGTTTGTGATAAGATTGAAAGTTACAAACGTGAACAGCCTTCAATATTTGCCTGGGAAATACGCGATAGATTATTGAAGGAAAAAGTTTGTACTGCCGATACTATACCGAGTGTAAGCCAGATTTCTATTTTCCATTCTTATGAGCAAAAAATAGATATTGAATATACTGATCGTTTACCCAGGTATATATAAATATCAAAGTTTTCTCTATTCTTTTCTTTCACTAACTTCGTTACTTTGAACATCTCATTTCACTGTACACAGTCTCATACAGTCATCATCTCATACAGATCGGTTATCAAAGATTTCATGCGTACACCAATTTGATGCACTTTTTTGATGTTGTTAAACCGATACAATCAACAAGATTTATCACTGGGGTTTTTTTTTTCAACTATACAATTAATGTATATACATTCTTTTTTTAAAGTTAGTTGACTGTTTTTTCACTTTTTCGAGACGACAACAACAGTAAAATAGCTGTAAATATTTTGAATATTATAAAGCAAAAGCAAAGCAAACCAGAAAAAAAACTTTACTTCTTTATCACATTGGACAAATTCTATAAAATTTAGTAATATTTATCGCAAAAAAAA